GTTATCGGGTTGAGGTTTTTTCCTTCATTTCCTCTAGACTTTTTGTTCGTCATGTCGTCTGTAGTTTCATTGTTCACCAGGAAGTGTGGATGCTTTATTTTATCAAATACATTCATTTATTGGCATACGATATTCCAGTGAGTGGCGATGCGAATCAAATTATTATTTATTTTTTATTCAGCCGTGATATTCATTCGCATTTTTCCACAGGTCACTATGATATCAGCCAGGGTCACTATTCTGTCTGTTCTATGGAGACTTAATGTGATCCATCTCCCCAAAACTCAGGATCATGAGTGCCGGTTAACTCCTTGCATGATTGTCCCCACAGTACCCAGTGACGCACATCCTACACACCTGCATACCAACCACAAACTCATCACTGTCACCAACGATAGCAGACTGCGATCCGTAGCATTAATCAGATGCACCATTTTATCCAGTCATTTTCGCTTGTCCCATTCTCTTCTCATCTTCAAGCCTTCAGCGACACTTCCCACTTCTCTCTTGTCTATCGAAAACCGATGTCTGTGTCTTCAACCAGCAACAACGGATCACCTCTGCCGTAAAAAAATAGATCTTGATTTTTCTATCGTGAATTTCCGTTGTTTTTTTTTATTGTTCATCCGACAAGAGGAGTTCTTTTAATTTTCCTTTTTGTATCTTCTAGCGTTATCTGTCTTGTGACGAACTCCAACTGCAATGTTCGGACTTTTCAATGTTCAAAATCAGGAATGTTTGTCACCCTCTTCTGGTACTTCATCTTCAGGGTGCCTTGATCAACAACATGCCCCAGTTAGTTGACCCCTCTCACCCGGACCTGTTCATGATCGAGCTGGCAACCATAGCCCTGCTTCAGTCTCTTCTCCCAGCTCTGATATCTACACATTCAATTTATGTAGTAAAAAAAGTATAATAAGGAAACCTCAATGTTAGAGTTGTTGACCTTGTCCGATGAGTACAATAATAAAAACTCTCAATTCAGAGCTTTGACTTCGTCTCAACTGAAATATCGCCTTACGAACAATCCTGGTTCTCATGGGGAAATACTTTTCAAGTGCTTTCGATCGAGGTTTTTAGCGTTTTCCACTTTCTCCTATCTTATCCAGTCATATAGTGAGGTATCATAGTATACTGCTTCACGGGTTTTTGGGTAGTATCTACGATCAAGGTCACCAAGATTTGACCGTAATAGTTGTTTGGACTTGGGTCAGGGATTTGTGAGTGGTCTCAATCTAATCAGTCCAAAACCGATCACCTGGCACTGTACTGGTGACTGTATGTGAAAAGAGAATGGTGTACTGGAAAACAACATTCGTCTGTACCCAACGGGTGCTGTTCAAGTTTTTACGTGCTTCGACAACGCTCGTTTGCTTGCCTACATTAGCAAGCCGGTAAAACCCACGTTCCGTACAGAAATTTCACGTTTTGAACATTGCCTTTCCCCAGTATTAGTATTTTACATCTACTTAATGCTGTGGAAAATTTTTTTTAGTTGGTGGTAAAGACCTCTATTATTAGCATATCTGTGAATTTCAGTAAATCCGTGTTTGTCATCTACTATTGATTAAGTTCGGTTTTCAAAGAGTACCTTCTGTTAAAGCCTAGGCTGTGACAATAATAGAATTTGAAATGAACGAATAAAGTGTGCTATATTCAAATCTGCGTTGAAAAACTAAAAAGCTTTTTACATCTGTTATTCTTTTTCGTGAAGTATCTTACACCAAACCCCGGGTATCACATTGTTCATTCCGTAGCACCTGATATTCTAATGGCCAAAAATCTCACTTCAAACAAAGTCAGATACTCGATTTTTTTCTTGACCTTACGTGAAGAGCACAATATCGTAATACTCAACGGTTCAACATTGTCTGTTCCATCAACCCTGAGGCCACCTGCGTCAATGAGTCTTCTTCTATTCATTTAACAGTAGTCGTCAACGCCCACCGAAATAAGTGGATGGGCCCCACAGCACCTACTGCTGACATGAAATCATCCGGCCGGGCCAGTTTGAGTAATCTAGTAGAAAATATGTGCATCTCAATCTATCCCCCTGCCCAGGTACCAATTATCGCAAGCTCCTTAAATGCTAGTAAATCATTCCAGGAATAAAACAGCGATACACAGGGTATTCATTTCTCTCACCAACACTTGCGACCAGTTGAAATCGGATCAGTTGGTCTCTTACTCCTCTAACAAAAGAAAATCATGTCACTCACTACTACTACTTGTTAGTAGTAACATGAAATAAATTTAATCCAGTCGAACTAACCGTTCTCAAACCCAACCAGGTCGAAACGTCTGTACAGTGCATCTTAGCTTTTCAGTTCACGGTTCATTTGCTGCATACACGATGAATCACCCCCTTTGAAATTCAATCAAATCCGCGATTACTCTCATGTAACAAGTAGTCAGGTTGTGAAAGTTTCTAACTGTAGTCATAACCCCGGAGGCTGGTGTCGAAATCGGCGCCGCGCGATGCTCGCAAAGATGGATTGTGCTATATCGTATAAATGAAAAACTGTCTGATCAGCTGCCCAGTGGCCGAGTGAGTAACATGCTTGCGTTCTGCCCGAGTTCGATCTCCCCCCCACCACCACCACCAGTTTGATCGATTGATTCGCGCAATGCTGATGAGGCCAGGTCTAAACAGTTGCATAGTAGTACTTCCTAGCTTTTTCAGCTCACGCTTCGTTTGCTCCATACACGAGGACTTTCTTCTTTGAAACTGAATCAAATACTCCATTACTCTCATGTAAAAACAATGCATTATCTTCAGTTCATCCCGTCATCCATACATTCGGGAAGAACCATATTCGGGTTTTGCTCTTGTTGGATCTCATCCGGTGGTGCATATCCACCACAGAACAGAACTCCGAACTTTGCACAAGGAAGGAGAGTGTGTTAACACAGTACCAAAAAGATCACAATAGAACCGACCAGAATCACCAATTCGTCTATGGGTTGACTGAATCAATTGGAGATTGAGTGAGAGTAAAGTCTGACGGATGGTTAGTCGAAATTCAAGGTGACAATCAGCCTGAATGTTTTTTTTGTCTTGTTTCGTTTTCCTCCCTGCCACCTGATTCAAAAAGATCGTGAAAATGTTGTCCTACGGGATGAACAACAACGCGTGCTCACAACCATGAAAACCGAACTGCAGTCGTGCGAAGATCGACTGCGTCAAGCGAATGCGGAGAAAAACCAGCTACATGACACTGTCATCCAATATGCCTCGCACGTGAGTAAACCAATCTCTCAAGTGTGTGTGTGACAGGTTTACAAACTCAGACCTCATGCATACAGTTCAACCCCCGGGTGGGGGGGAGAGATCTTTTT